ACGATAAGTATTGTTACTTATGAACATAAATGTCATCACTGCACTGTAGTTATGTTTTGGACTGGAACATTATCAATGTTGACAAATTTGCACCGGAACTAACCCAATGTTGTTATGTTAGTTCGACTATCATTTTTCACTTCGATAGAGATGGATCATCTTTATTGGGTGTAAGCATCACTCTCAAGCGAGATCCATCGATTCGACTTGGGGAATGGTCCCGTATCGACAACCTTCGAAGTTCCTAGAGTTGTCCACCATCTTCGAAGTTCTTCGATGGACAGAAAGTATCTCTTTTTCCCTTTTCTTCATTGTCCGAATGGGATCAACCCACTTAATAACTTTATTCAATCCTCTTATGTGTGTTATGAATAGAAACGACATCCTTGTCGTTGTAGTTATGTTTTGGTTTGGAATGACCTTAACAATTGATAGATATTGTAATGGAATAGACCCTTTGTCATTATGTTAGTCAAAACAACATCAATGTTATTATTTTTATCATAAAGACGTCAATATTGTTATGTCAGATTGATACATGTGATACAAGTCATTTTATGGCCATTCAATGTCATTATTTTTATTTGGAACGACTTCAATGGCGTTATCTAAAGCAGTAAATTTTTATCATAACTTGCTTGTCATTGTTTTTTTTTTTTCCTTACGACTTCAATATAATTATGTCAAATTGATACATGTGATACAAGTCTCTTTTACCATAACGATTCCAATGTAGTTATAATTGAGCATAACGACTTCAAATTTTCAATTTTGTTATCGATTCACATAGAACGAGGAGATTCAATGTGAAAATATATCAACTCGTTTGTACCTGCTTTCATGTAAACATTGTAAATCACCCATATCACTCCACTTCAATACTTCACTAAACCAATAATTACAAAATTAAGATAAAACATAATGTCAGAAACCATATAGTCAATTACAAATACATTATTAATTGTTAATCCGAGAATGTGCTATAAACATCAAAATTATATAAGCGACAGTCTAAGGCTCAAAGTGTCATGCTAACAATGAATACTTGTACCATGATTCCCCTCCGACGTCTAAAGTTCTCAATTTATCACCCGTATCATGTTTGAATACGTTTATAGTTTACTCAAATGATATTTTTTTCCCATGAATACTTGTTTAACCTGTCGAAATCATCTACCAAGCTGAACCTTCATAAATCAATAAATTTGTTCTTCACCATGGCCAACAGGACATACGTCAAGATACAAAATAATTAATAATTATACATCAGACATACAACAATTCAAAGCCTTGAAAATCACATAGTAATGGGATTTTGTTCGATCCGGGATTAAGGATTAAAAAGCAATCTTCATACCAATAAGTGGCAAATTTTTATTACCTTTGATCAACTCGTTATGTATGATACACCATTTTAAGTTTACATCAATTAGTGATTATATGATCAACTCTTTCTTCATTTACATTGTCATACCACTTCTCCATAGCACTACAAAATACAACATAATTAATAATTATACATCTGACATACTGTTGAAAAATATATTGATTGGCAAATAGAT